AGGCGTTAATAAAGAAGTATAAATGCAACAATTCAGTGGGTGCTACAGTTATTACGTGATCGAGTACCCAATTTTTAATCAGAATAACGAATGACCTGTTCTTCTGAGGGTATAGTCACGCTTTTGTTGCTGCATCCTTCGCAGCAGGAGGTTAATAGGTTTTCTTCTGTGATAATCGCACGACTCATTGCATTATATTCTGACTATGTCACGAAAGTAGAACTCCAATAGGTTTATTCACTACCCAGAACGATGCGCAAATTTCTCGCATCAACAATTTATGAAGAAACCTGAGCATCATTTTTGAGACGATCGATTAGAATAGCTAATCATAGTGAAATAAGACGGCCTGATGCAAATGAGTTGATCGTGATTTTGAATTAGTTCTGGCTTTGAGGTTTTTGGTTTTTAGTCTGACAGTGAACATTTACTAATGATTTTTTAAGAGTATACAGTTGAGCACCATGATATGTATTGAGGATGCAGGAAAATATTGATGTACCTGTGACAGTGCTGACATTGGATTTATGGCATTGACAAAGAAAATATATCTGCTGGATTTGCAAGTGTGATCAGAAGTTAAATGCAACTCATTACTGCATAGAAATATGATTAAAGAGTTTCAATTATAATGACGGAAAATCTAATTAAAAATGGACCAATTACAATTAACAAATAAACTGTAAACAAAGCGACGTATAGCTATTATAATTATAGCCGTGTCATTGTGCTAAAATTGTCACAGGTAAAAAAGCCACCATACTTTATTTAGTGTGGGATATTTGGGAGCTCTGGGAGTCACTAGCCCTAATCAATAAACGGAACACTGCAACCAGCACTATTGGTTTGTTTAAAAAGGCCTCAAGAAAACGATTCCCATCATGAAACTGCTAATTAGACGAGAAAACTAATCCTGAAGGCAGTCACACGTTCTGTAACCTTTTCTCTCCGATTGTGTTGAGGGCAGCATCAGAGAGTGACGAGTCACACCAACGACTCTGTGACGGTACCTGAGAATCGACAGGAGGTTTCGATGGTGACGCAGTGTTCTTTGGTCACTTGT